CACAATTTTAGGGTGATGGCTATACCAGCAAGTCATCTTTGTGCATCTGCAACTTAAACCAGTACAAGTAAACAAATAAATGAATACTGTTTCAATCTGGATAGCTTATACAATGTGAACTAAGCTTTCTAGACCACTATGTGTTGAAGGCAGTCTCATGGCACCTGTACTACAATTTTGGTCAAGGTAGAATCACTTCAGTAACAATCTACTTTGGAACTTTCATTCCACCACAAGTTTCTACAGCCTTATGCAGATTACATAGCAGAACACAGAAGTTATCGATCACACCACATTTTCTCCAAGTATCCCTTTCCTCTCTCAAGAAAGTTACATTAGATGATCAATAAACACGCTTTAACCTTTAATAAACAAAGGGTGAAAAAGACAACACGTCAAGAACCTAGGACAAAAAAATAATGTCAGGGAAAACAGTAAGTCTGACTTCATAGAGAAGTGAATAGCATCATTCCCTTTTCTTAATATTTATAGACCATTAAAAAAGCATAGTACTTCAAAGCCTACAGAGGTGGAAACAGATTTCCCTATTACCTGACATAACAGCTATTAGGACCAAATTATATCACTAGAACAAAAGAGCAAGAAACTGAATGTACAAAAAGCAAACAAATTAAAAAAAAACTAAGCTGGATTTTTTGAGCATATCTGTACTCTGAGCAGTAACATGTAGGCAGTATGCAACACATCCAATACATTTATCTTACCAGGAAGTATGCAATTTTATTAGAAAATTAACACACTTGATACTCAGGTCACTTCAATCTTCCATGAACCAAAAATGTCAACTGTTGTGCTTAAGATAAAACAACTTAAATGAACTTTTCCTTTTGCATTCTTTATTTTTTTTAACCTTTTACAATTATACAAAGCCATTATGCTTGATCTCCTTGGGAAGATCTCTTAAATTTAATTCATTCAACAATATTCTATTTACTTTCACAAAGCTCTCAGACTGTGGCAGCAAAGCCTGCTTTGAGTAACTATATTATTGGTAGACAAACCCAGTAATCTGTGCAACAGATTCATCTATTTCACCCACAGGCAACTTCTGAATTATTTTTCAGGCATGGCATAGGTTACGTGAATGAGAAGATAGAAGAAAGTTTCAGTAACCTGACAGCAGATAATATGGATTTCATTTAGAAAAAAAAAAGTTACTGTATTAGATAAAGAGTACGTTCAAAGAAAACCAGCAGCTTCTGGGAGAAATCAGTGGTTTCACCAAAACAGCAGAAGCAAAAACAGCGGGAGTGAAAAAAGGCCGTAACCCTGTGTGATGACAAATGAACTGCAGAGAAAAACCTCTTGAATGTTTTAGCTCTCCCCACAAAGCTGGAAGGAAAAGATATCGCTGAGAAACAGCTGCAAACAATAGCAACTTGGTTAAAATTGATAGATATTTGACGTTTACATAGTATAGTATTCTAGAAATAATATTTCTTGATATATTTTTCCTTATTAAAGGCCAGGTTAACCTTATGCTCTGCACTGTTGACATATTTCCCCTCTTTCCAGTCTCCACCAAAAGAGGGCAGAAAAACAGTGAAATTCTTGGTAGTCTCAGTGTTCAGCGAGTTCAATAGGTAGGCTCCTAGAAGAAGTTGTCCGGAGCACCAGTCTGGTATCAAAGGCAGAAAGATTGGAAAGAATCCCTGATGAGACTGTGTTTTGAATTCCCAAAGTCCATGCAGTAATTGGAAGGTAATTTCCAGAGAAAGAACCTTTTCTCTGTTTCTGCGCTCTCCCTATTTGAGTAATTAATCTAACAACATACAGCAGACTCACAGATGTTCATAAGATAGCGGTATACTGCCCTCACTGTTTAAACAATGAGGTGCATAAAGCAGTCCTGTGCTTCACTTTTATTCAAAGAGCAAACTTTTCTTTTCAAAAGTGACTAGCAAGAAAACTTTCCACTTTTTTCCTATTTCATGACAAGTAAAAAATCTTCACATGCATCCAGGGTATCTACTGAAAGCTTCATCCATGGCAGCACATACAGCTTCTCTGTTCCTACCTTGGATGGACACGACTATAGGGGAACTCAAATTCTCAACATTTAATTCTTTTATTCCTTGTTCACCTTTTGGGAATAATTGAGAATGTTTTGCAACTGACCAGATCTCCCCTTGTTGACTGACTTCCATGGACTACGTAGTTCTGAGTGGCTGCAAAACCCAAGACCCTACAAGTTCCTTTAGCTTCTCTGGATCTTACTCCCCCTACCAGTCCACAGCTCCTGTGAAGTTTAGACAGCAGATGCCATCTCATCAGACCTTTTAACATATCTGTGGGCTTTCTATCTGACCTCATTATTATCTACAGCAAGTCTCATGGACACCCAAGAAATTCACATAGATGTAGTAAAGGAAAACTACATTGCAGAGGGGAACATAAGGAAATATAATTTCCATTTTTACTTCTAACTGTGATATGTCCTGCTGCATAAGTTTTCTAATCTTAGCAACCAGCAAAGCTTAAGAGTTCAAAGACACTGTCCCTTAGGGTCTAATTGTGTCAGTTGTATGCTTTCTTTCTGCAAATACCAGTAAAAAAAATTTCAAAGGGGGTGGGAACCTTTTAACTGGAAACTCAGTTTTCAAGTGCATATCTGACTTGAAAGTTCTACTAACTCTCAGTCAATAAATTTGAAAGTACATACACAAAATTATAGTCCTAAGTAGATACATTCATGCTTTTCACTGTCCAGTGGATCATAACTCAACAATAATAAAGATACTCTTTATCAATAAATAAAAGTTCCTAATCCCTAGGTCTGTAGCTGTCAAATAACCCATATTCTTCATAAGATATTTTGAAATCCCAGCAAAAATATTTACATCTTTGTACCTGAAAAATGGCTAGTCAAGACAACAATAGGCAATTTCTGTTCCAGGAATCCTCATTAGATCGTTAGAGTGAAAGACACGCAACTGCTAAGTCTTCAGTTTGTTCAAGGAAGACAACTTGAGCTAGGCTCAAAATAGAGCCTTTAAGAGAAAGACAGGAAGATTTTTTTTTACTGCCATGGAAACACTGTATTTGCAAACACAGAATGGAGAAACTTACATTTTTCTGTGATCACTGTCCTCACGTCTGAACTGGAAGTTTTATTCTTCAAATTCTGAGCCAATGTAAAAACAGAATCAAGCTGAGGGTGCCGCTGGTCCAAATCTGCCTTTGTGATCTGTTCAGAATCAGAATATTATTTTTAAGTCCAAAAAGCAGGATTTAGTTAACATCATCTGTATAATTTGTAGATAAAACATGTATGTGTCACCACAAGTAGATAGCTGTTCCCATCATTATTGTAACACTTGAATTGCCATAGTATTATAGGACTGCTTTAAAAAGCAAACATATGCTGAATTACAGTTACTGAAAATCCAGAGATGAATGTTAACCTATACAAATCACACCATTACCACAGCCATTGTACAATATTTTCCAATATCAGTTTTTCACTCTTCCATAACTTATTTTCCTCATTACCAAGCTCTGATCATTTACATATGGGGGGAGGGGAGAAATGGAGAAGGGAAAGAAAAGAGAGGAAAAATCAGGCTTTATATGGTGTTAAAAATGTAGCTATTTCACTATGGCAATGTACCAGAAGTCCATATTACAAGTATTATACAGTTAAAAGGAAGTGTTTCCAAAGTTACTGTACATCACATTATTCTTTCAAATTCCAGACTATGTTAGACACCCACAGGAACAGTTTAGCACTTATTTAGCCTTAAGCTTTTACTCTACAGTTACTCATGTTAATTGATATCAAGTCAAATAAAATGAACCTTAATGGTAGCAAATATCTCACAAACACTGCCCTTAGTCATGGCTCAGCATAGCATGAGCTATCAACAGAAACAAACATTTGCATCACAAGCATTTATGTTACAACTTTTAATTATTTTAGCATGTCTCTAGAAAGCAGTTTAGGGTAACTGCAACACAATAAAACTCATTAGAAACCACTAAAGAGTGGATCATAAAGGTCACCCTCCAAGCAAATATGAAGCTGCTCCAAAGTTTTCAGCATAAGCTATCTGAACATTCCCAAAAAGATGTCATTTTCAGGAGGTATTCTCTACATACTTTGTTTAAAACAAAACAAAAACGCAAAGCCTACCTTACATAGGGACACTGGAATTGACAGAAAATAGTAGAGAGGAGAGAAGTGTAGCAAAAACAGCAGCATTTAAAGTGTAATTTTCAAGTTATCCATTTAGTGCAGTTACTCTTTTTTTTTTTAACACATGCAGTTTCTTTACTAAATGTACAAGCTACTAAAGTGTGAGAGAATTTTCCAATCCACTAGACTTAACAAAAACACATACTTTCATTCGTGCAATAGTCCGATTGATCTCTTCAGTATTTCCCACGGTGACTATGTTTGACTTGAGCATCTGGTCAATCAATACCAACCAGTCAGCCAGCTCAGTTGTAGTTTTATCCAGATCAGCAGGTGCAGAAAGTTCCAAAGCCTGCTGAGTCTGAGCAGGAATTTCCAAAGAAGAAGATACTAGCACCACCTTTTGGACATCTGAAACAGAGTTTGGGGTTTCTGTTACAGAAAAAAAAGTTATGGCCACAGGTGTAATTGTGTAAGGTACAAGGGGATTTTTTACAAATCCTATAAATATGCAACAGCATCTACAGAGAAAGCACAGCAAAATTTGCATTTGAGGTATTTTAACCACTAGAAGCTAAATAATAAAAAACTTCCTTTTGCTTTTTTTTTAAAGGCTATTATTTCATTGCATGCCAAAGACTCAGCCAAATGATTCAGCCTAAATACAAAACAAACAAGACGAAAGCTGGCAAAAGCAAAATGACATTAAATCTAATGGAGTGAAGCTAAACACACTGACACAAAAGGGAATTGATTCTTATTAAGCATAAAAACCAATCCTTGCATTTAAGAGAAATGTCTAAAATTATATTCCTCACTTTTGTATTAGGTAGCCAAAAGGTTTTCCCCACTCATGGCTCACAATTCACTTAAGCACAAGCCAAGCTACTCCAATAGACACTTCATGGACATGGCAATACAGAACTGTCCTAAGAAGAGACAGATGCCCACTAGTTCATCCCCATCCTTTCTGTATATTTCACCTGACACCATAAAGAGGTGAGGAATGAGCTGGACAGTGAGATTTGCTCCAGAAGCTCTGTTTGGCTGTGTTGTAGCTTCAAGGAAACACAAAGTTAAATCAAGCTGGAGCATGAATATTACACGCTTGCCTCAAGCAATGAAATATAGGAGCTTTGCTTGACAAACAAACACCCTGTATGAAAGGAAAACAAGCTGAATAAAGGTTTTGAAAGGCTTAAACAAAAGCTGTTTTTCCTCCTTTACTTTTTGTTTATAGCTGCTGAATAGAAAACCAAAACAAAACAAAGCAAAAAAAACAGAGTTAATTTATTAAAGTTCAAGCTGCAAATTCTTTCAGACAAGGGCTGTCTTTTTTTACCTAGTTTTTTTAAAAAGGAGACCTGTGCATCTTGTTTACAGTCTGCATCTGCTGATCTGCCTCCAACAACTTGAAAAGACAGCCAGTGTCAGAGTCTGATAAAAGAATGTATCATATTTAGACAGCTTCCTCTATAAAATTCAGGAAGGTAAGTATCTAGCAGATGAGAAAGACCTATCTGTGTCCCTATTAAACTGAAAAATGCAGAATGGCCTTTATTTATAGGACTGTGGAGAATCTGCATGCAGGAGATACTTAGAAAAATAGGGAAAGCTTCTAGTGCATCTCAGTTACTAAGAGGCATGACCACAAGGCACAAATTCACAGGAAACCAAGCTATCACAAACATAGCTATATGGGCTTTTTTTCTGTACCTAGTACACAGGCTCCTGATGAGGAGACCTAAACTTTACTAAAACATTTTTCCATTTCAAAACTCTTAGAGGAACCCCAACAGACTCCTCCAATCCCAAACTGCAGAGTGACTTTTTCCCTAACCAAATGTTTCCTCTCTCTCCCATAGTAACATAAAAGTAGCAATGGACAGCGATGCAGCAAGCTAAGCGATGGACAACATTTCTTATTTCCACATGTTTAAGTTCATAGGAAAGGTTTTACTTTTTGGATTATTTTTGACCACAAACAGGATTAAACTCAATACAATTATGCACAACAGGACTGATCACTCACCAGAAGGCTTTGTCTGTGTAACAAGACAAGACTGCCCAACAAAAGCCTCCAAATCTCTCATTCTGTCAGGCACTTCTCTGAACACCTGCAGCCCAGCAGAGAAGAATGAAAACAGTAAGATAATCTATATTAACAGCAAAAAAAGTAATCATTTTTTAGAAGACAAAATATTCTACTTCATGCTTGCTACAATGGCGTGCCTCAGATACATTTCAATCAATTTTTTCAAGGTATCATTTAAAAGCAATAAAATGCCAAGTGGTCCTCAGAGTGTTATTTCAATAGATTCCAGTGTCTTACCTAAATCTTGGAGAGAAATAAATGAATGGTTGCAGACAGATTGTTTACATGTCTTTTACTAACTAAGCATTAAAGCTATAATTCATTATTTGAGAATGCTTTGAAGGAAAGATGGTGCAAAGCATAACTTGTGGTCATCAGTGGAAGGAAAGTAGAGAAATAGGATATCAATTTAAAAAGAAAAAATGTTACTACTAAACTCTATTTTAGTGAAGACAAATGTACCCATTTTGTTTTTTAAAAGTTTTTAAAGGGCAGTGATGGAAATATAATACACAAAGCAGGGGGAAGAAACTCTATTTTCATGTCTGAGTAGGTAAAACCAGATTTTTGGGTATTTTTCTTTCCCTGGACTATCAGAAGCCCCTTTCTCCAATAAATTCTTACCTCCCTGACCCACAATATAATCTCAAATAACTCTATTTCTTTTTCACTTAAATGTCCAGACTCTGCTCGAAAAAAAATCTGGTTTTACTTGCCAATGAGATTGAACACTAGAGTTTCTAATTTACAGTCATTATACTCAAGAAGAAACCCAGACACACTTGACAAGATTTCCTTACTAAGCTTTACCATAGCTTGCTTTGTTTTCCTCTTAACTGCTGCAAACCTCCAACTTTCCTATACAGCAAAGATTTATTATGACTCTGTCAATTTCAAATTTGTACATTTGTAGTGTTTGACTCAAATCACAGAATCACAGAATATTAGGAGTTGGAAGGGACCTCAAAAGATCATCTAGTACAACCCCCCTGCCAGAGCATGAAATAAGTGAAATATTTTTGATCCAGCTGTTTAAAATACAGCCAATAAAAAAGAAAACCAACCAAAAAAAACCCAAACTCTAAGCTAAATAAACTAACTCATCCAGATGGAAAAACATCCACCAGTGTTTTCACGTAGACATGGATTGGGGCACATTTCCTGAACATGCCTGCATGGCTTCCAAGACATTTTATGTACATGTCAGAGATACTTGGAAAATAACCATTCTGAGTACACCACAATATTCTCAACTTCAGGTATCCAGTGCTGAAGAGATACACACCTTATTCCACCTCACATTGAGGGACTGCAGACAGTTAGAAAGTTTCTCTTTTTCCTGAATACCAACATTTTTATCCAAAAGCACTTCAGGTTCAGTTCTGTTCAGCCATTCCAGTTTGTCTCCTTGTACTTCCATCTCTTCACTTAAGACCTAAGAAGGACAGAGGAGTTTTAGACTGAAGCAAAATGCATACATGCTTAAGTAAGAGTGTCGAGGAAAAGCTTTCCTTTAACTCCAATGTTTAAACATTCCCTTGGAATAACAAATTCCAATTTGTTATTCCATAGCATGGAATAACAAATAACAAAAGCTTCTAACAAACAACAAACAAATAAATAACAAAAGCTTCTATGCTATGGTTTCTATACTCTATCTAGAAACTATTAAAACATTGATTCAAATATCAACGTTTATTGCTAACTGGAAAAAATCCCACAAAACTGCAAATAGCCAAGTTATCTATTCCGCATCATATGATGTACATTGATTCTCACAAGATGCTTCAGTTTGAACACCTTTAGATGTACCATGTGTAGCCAAAAGGCAGCATATTGCTAATCAAAATTGTTGCCTACTTTCATAAAAAAAAATAAAATAAAAATAATTAAAAACTAAGGGCACACTCCTGACATGCATTATACAAGTACATGGTAGATCACTACAAGATACTTTACTCTTAAGGAAATGTACTCTAAAGGTATTTAAAAGCCAAACATTGATCAAAATGAAGTTTTAAGTCTATCTCCCATAGACCATAATTTCCCTCCCCCATAAAAAAAATATTATTTTAAACTTTATATTCTTTTTGATTGGAGGCTGTTCCAGATGCTCAATTTAGAAAGCTCCTTCTCATTCCCAGACTGTATTTATTTCTGACTGATCAGTCAACATCTGCTATTCCCACTTCCCTAATACCAGCCTCTAATAATAACTCATCTACCCTGCGCTTTCTTATTCTCATCATCTCATTCCCTTCTCACTGTTATTTATTTGACTAGACCAAACAAGACAAGCTCTGAGCCTCTTTGCAGATGAGGAGTTCCGTACCCTCCTGAAAAGCCCAGCAATCCTACTCAGTACCTGTTCTATTGCAAACTCACCTTTCCTTCATATACATAATCAAAACTGCACACACATACATGCTTTCACAGGGCCAAATTGGTACTGAACTCCCTACCAGTGTTTCTCTAGAAAATTCTGCTCTTTCCTCCCTTATTACAGTCCTACTTTTCACTTCAGACATTAATAGTCAAGTAGATAACATGAAAAAATAAACTGTCATGATAGTCACACAGCCCATACTCAACTGACACAAGACAATGTGTTTAAACAAACACAACTGCAACTACTTTATACTGTTTATGCACATTTGTAGGAAGTGCAAGCCTTTCCACCCAATTTGGTTCAACAGAGGTTGCTTGTTTCTTTGTTTGCTTAAAAATTACTAATTTTTAAAAAATTAACAAGCAGGTTTGCTGGATTGACTACTACTTCCATTCTTCTAGTATTCCATAAACATTCTCTTTCACACATCCTACAAACCAAAGATATTTTATTGTCAAAGCCAGACACAAAACAAACAGGAAAAATGCACACATATATGCATCCCATGTTACTTGAAAAGACCAAAATCCTTAGAGTTGAAAAAACAGGTTAGAAAAAAAATCTTACACATGTAACAAAGTATTAAAGCTGCCCAGTAAACGGGACAATTATGCTTAGTTACCATTTAAAGTTTAGTGGCTTTTTGCTACAGTTTATGACAATTCTTAAGTTGATGTGGGGACATCATCTCCAATGAAATTTCATCTATTAAATTTTATCAGTTGTACATATACTTCTCACTTTCTGATAAATAGTCATCATCTTCTGGCTAAACAGCATACTTACCTACTCACCCCAACTTTATTACAAGATGCATCCTGCCTGTGTAATCTCACAAAATTGTCTCTCACAACCATAATATTTCTTTGGCTATTTACAATGTGAAAATTCCATTCCTCAAAAGCCATGTCCTGGTACTTAGCACAAGACATACATCTGCATACATACATGCAAACTAATCAATCTTGCCTGTAATTTTTGCAAGTTTTCTTCATGGTTGAATGTAAAGCTTGTGTCTAGAGCATTTTCTATATTTTCCAACCAGCAACGCAGTTCATCAAGCTTCTTTCTGTACTCTATCAGCTGCTGATTCTCTCCTTTTAGCCTTAAAAAGGAAAACAAAAAATCCACATGCACTTCTGCAGTGAACACAGCACACCAGTCCTATGTTATTTCTGATGCAACAGTCATGTTTTTCAGTGATCGGAGCATTTTAAAGGATTCATTTTGGTATTCAGAGAATTCTATCCTCATCACTAAAATGCAAGATACTTGCAAAATAATACTACCACCTTAAAAACAGATAAATTTCAGTACCAAAGTCACAAAATAGACTTTTAGAAGTGTGCAGAAAACATTAAGCATAAGTTACAGTATGATAACACTTTTCTAAAAAGGTCTGGCTTAGCAATGAAATTATTTAAAAAATCACAGGAAAATTGTCAGAAAAGAAGTTCTGTGGTTTTCATTTGGTGGATTGTGTTAAACTTAGACTCATTAAACAGTCAATTGCAGGTACATTTATGAGAAACTGGATCTAGAAGACAGTTCAAAACACAGAGGTTTGAATGTCAGGAAAATTCAGATTAATGACAGCGTGCAACAGAATGCACTCTCTCTCCAAGAGACTTCTAAATGGGATTCTCCTCATTGCTCTGGTCAGACATCCAAATTTCTGATTAACTTATTACCTCTGTTGTCTATCCATGACCTCCACAGTGATTGCTTTCCAGCGTCTATTCAATCCTGCCAGCTTCTCCTGCAGGAAGCTCCCATCTGTAGCAGACAGTTTCTGTATGATCCCTTCCCCAGTTCTGTTCAATGCTGAAACACTGGTCTGGTGGCTGGTGATTCCCTCTTCCAGTTCCTGACAGAGACATAAAGGACACACAAAATTTCATTACTGACCTAAAGTGACTTTGATCTGTGGCTCATAATATGCAGGATGAATCCTGGGTGTATATTATTTTACTAAACCAGGCACTTAAAGCCATTTTACTTAAAATTAGATGCTGTTGATTTAAGTTATTAAGAGTCCGTTGTTGAACCTAATTCAATTTTCTAATAAGTGTTGTAAAAAGATAATGACACAGAATAGGCTGCCGAATATTACTTAGGATCACAAGAATTCATTTAAACCATAAGTGCTAGAATCCATACTCACATTTGATTCATTTCCCCTTAGTACACAGCACTTTCTAGTAGTGCCAGCAGATACTATGACTTTTTTTTTAACCAGTTCTTTTGATAGCCTATGCCCCTAACTATTTCTGTAACTTAACAATATTTTACTAGAATAATTATGTCTGTACTGTCACAGTCCCCAGAGATCACAAAAAATCCAGGAAACTTAAAGAAATCAGATGTTAGGATCAAATCTTCAAATATCCCTAACCACTAGAAAAGCCTTGCATTGTTAGTAAAAGTTTCTTTGCAACTAGATTAGGAATAAGATAATTCAAGAAAGAGAAAGGAAATTCCCTATAACAAAACACCAAGCAGCAACAAGGATAAAATACAAAATGTATGTCAGTTAGAACACATTTCTTTAGCAACACATACCCAACTCTTGGATAACTGATATCCCCGAAAGAAAAAAAAAAAAATCTGATCCTTAAAGTTATTCTTTCTTCTCCCTTTCTTCCCTTATTTAAAGGGAAGTAAATTGGTTTAGCTAAACAGAAAAGTCTGCTCTTCCATAATGATGAGCTAGAAAGACAGCAGGGAATTCAATTCCAGAACTGAAATCTGAAATAATCAAACTTAAGATATCAGTAAATGGAATCTTGTCTTTTTCTAGACTGCTTATACAAGGCAGGATTTTGCGAAGTCACTAATTTGAAAAAACAATTTGATAAGTTATAATTAACCATTGTTCGGTCCACTATTTTAATTATGAATAGAAAGTAAGTGAAATAATATACTGGATTTCTTAACCGATTAACATTTTTAAAGCTGTAACAAAACATATAAAACAACAAAAATTATGCCAACATTTGAATTATCAAAATATCTCAAGCCCATTCATACTAAAAATCATAAAACCCCATACTATAAGGAATTGAGATCTTCCTCAAGAATAAATTTATGATTTCTTTTTCAATTGCAGTTTAAGTTACCACTTTTTAAAGTATAATTCCACAGACTCATTTCAATTCTCTGTATCTATATAGAAAATTAGAATTTTAGACAAAAATCTAGACTTCTTCCAGCTTGCTTGTTTTCTGCACAAGCCATACATACCTGTTGATGCAGCTCAGCTGTTGGTAGCTCCAGGGTGCCATCTGGACCACGGGCATCAGCTAACAGCACTTCAGCTTCCGTTATCCAGTGGGAGAGGTCATTGAGATCACAGTGGAACTGCCTCCACACCTCAATCGCTCTATCAAAGCAGCTGTTTGAAGACAAAGCATTGAAAAATTATCCAAATTCCATTGGTGAAAAGGCTCCAGTTCCTACTCCAGTGAGTAGAAACTTTCCTTGTGAAACAGAAAGGCTGGCAAATAGACTGGTTAACAAAGCCCCAGTACTGAAGGCTTCCTGACATAGTAGCAGCTGGTAAAAGCCAACAGCATAGACCATCATTAACTTCCAACTGAAGGGAAAAAAAAGAAAGAAAGAGAGGAAAAAAAAATACAAAACAAACAAAAACTCAAAACACACAAAAAAACAACCAATCCTAAGCAAACTTTTGTTTCTATCGCTTAAAAAATAAAGATTGATTAGCTACATCAAACTGGTCAGCAGAACCCTTTTTTTCTTTATTGTAAAACAGTTCAGATATCAGACAGTGTGAAACATGAAATACGATTAATTGCCCAGATTTTTTCATTTGATTCATAAAGCATGGGGTGCTGGTGCCTGGAATTTAACAACTGAAGGGGATTTTGCTGATATAGAACTGACTGTATTACCAGTGGGCCTGCATAAGTAGGTCTTATACGATTTAATCACACAATAATTTACCAGGCATTTCATTATTATTACCATCTTTGCAGCTTCAAATTAATGTGTAGCTTAACATGAAGGGCAATATTTTCTAGCATGGAACAGACTGAATTATGACAGTCAGAAGGTTGTTTTTAACTAAAATGAGAGTTCTGCCATGTTAACAAACTAACAAGAACAGCCCATGAATGTTAAATAAGAAAACCATGTCAGAAAGACATAGAGACAGTGGCTTGCTTTTCCTTTGCTGGTTGCTAACTCTGTTAGCATTATAAAGCAAATAAGACAAATGTCTCAAAGGATCCAGGACTTGAAACAAACAACATGAAATCTACAACACCAACAACAACAAACTGGATATATCTCCATTTCAAACTAATAAAAATAGTCTTTGAAGACATAGGAAGCCAGGTCTCCTGCTCATCAGAGGACTTTCTAATGACAAGACAAAAGGTATCATCTGCAGCCCATTATTTTGTCTTAATTCCAACCACAAAGATTCAAGTTACCACTTATACACAGATACAATCTGAACTTGTAGCAGCATAACATCAAAGATAGCCAGAATCAAGCTTTAAAGAGCTACCAGTGCATCTATTTTCTCCTCCTAATTAAATTCAACAAACCCAGAGTTCCTAGTGAGATTATTTTAATCAAAATTATATCTCATTTTTATCAAGACATACATATTTCTTGGCACACAGAGGAAATTTTTTTGTTATTATTATTCCTTATCTGGGCCAATTCTAATAAAGGAAAAGCCTTGAAAAGCTCTACTTACATTTTTCTGACCCTACCTCCTAGTCCTACCATTTCAGCTTCTTGCACACTTCTCAATTCACTACATTAGACCAACCTCTAGACTGACCCCAAATCTCATTCTCCTTTTATTTCTTAGCTCCATTTTAGTCTAACTGAACATACTTTTTCATGATAGTATCTCATTCCAAATTTAATGAGAAGAGATATTCTAAGCACTTAAAATAGTTTAAAGACTATTTTATTGGTTTTCTTCAAAATGAAAGTTTCTCAGGGAGTTTTGAAGATGACTTTTTCAGAATCAAGAATTCTAGATCTTTCCAGGAGAATGCTTTGACATAGAAAGCTTTAACTCCTGCCATTTCTGTTGTGACTCTGCAGTTCTGTCAATATTTTGAACAACAAGATGAAGTTTCACTCCAGTTTTGAGCCAGATACACATGCTGCTGTTTCACTACAGATAGCCTCAGTTAAAAGTAGTAAAGTCCTGTCACTACAGCACCAGGACTTGGCTCCTACTTGCCTCCTCTGCAGGAACTCACTTGCTTCCAAACCACAGCTCATTCCCAAGTCACCAGAACTTCAAGTACTGATGGAAAGTCCATGACAGAAGCAGCAGAACTAGCAAGCCAGCACTCTTACAAACAGATTAAAGCACTAAGGCCATACACACACACCCCACACACGTATTTTACTTTACATGTATGTTGAAGTCAACTGAATTTAGCTGAACACTTAAAAGCTTTGCTAAATACAGGTTAATACAACTTCTGCTTGGTTACATCAGAGCTTTTATCAAAGGTTTAACTACTTAGCTGGCAATCAGTCACAAAATCATTACTGCCTCTGAAAACTATATCAATCCTTTGCCACAGACTTCAGATGCTGTTTCTACTAATTCTGTCAAAATCTCCACCTACTCCAGAAGTAGAAAAAAGCCAGAGATTATAAAGGAGATAAAATCTTCTAGCCTTCTTGCTTATACTTAGAGCAACACTGGGAAAAGCAAGAATAAACTTGGTTAAAAATTCTTCTTTGTAACAGAATGTGTATAAAAAGATTAATGCCAAAATACAGCATTTTAATATTAATATTAATGTTGTCTTCACTAATCAAACTGTATCCTTCTATAAAAATTGTAGCACTTAATATATTCAAGAAGCTATATGCCATTTTAGATGAAATTGCTAGTCCAGTAGTCCCTTTTGTATGAAAATTGCACCCAATATTATTCTCTTTAAGATGCAGAGCTTTACAAACTTTATGAAGTTCAAGATTAATTTGTATTCGGCGAACCATCTGAGGAGGTAACCTGTTGCATTTTGCCAGTTAATCCTAAACATTGAACTTACTTTTTGAAACACTTATCTTTTTCAATGGGAAGACTAGGTTTCTTGTTAACTCTGGCTATTTGATGAAATGAAATTTAAGTAGTAAACGAAATTGTACTCAGAAAACGATAATAATAAAGATATTAAATTAGGTTACAAGGACGAAAAAGCCATAACTAAAGCTTAGTGCCATACATATGAAGACAACAAAATAGCTGCAGGCATATAAATACAGATGGGCACCAGATTCTGGAGCATTTGTCTCCAAATATGGCAGGTGATGACAGGCAGCCAGCAAGAGCACAGGAAGTGGTACTCAGCTGGCACCACTGTTTTTAAACTAAAAAAGAAAAAAAAAACCAAAACAAAACAATGAAATGACACTGGCTGCTGAGTCAGTAGAAATTTTGATCTTTCACTGATCCAGTGGCCCGGAATTTCTGGAAGTCTCTGCTTAGAAAATACCACCAACCAATTTTTATATTTCTACACATGCACCAGTGCTCGGAGAAAGAGTTGAAAAGATCAGCTTATATAATATACACTTCCTAAAAACATCTCTTCAAAATACATTACCAAATGTGCTTGATATCAGATTTCTGGTGCTACAACTAGACATTATGTTATGCTCTACAGAATTTCTGTGTTAACCACTACTTTATATCACCCTTAAAAAGCAAATACTGTAAAAGCAAATTAACTACAGTATGAGCCTTTGCATTTAATTTTAAGTTTCATAAAATAATATTCAGTCATTAAGAGTTTTTTTGCATAGCAGCAATCTCAGTGTCTACTGCTGTTTGCAGTGTGAGTATCTTCAGATTAGTGATAAATTGCTGAACACACACTTTCATACTTTCACCAATTTCAACTTAAAATGCCTGACACACTATTTCAAGTTTGACTAAGCGGTACTGAGTTTGGTTTTTAATATTTAAAGATGTTTCAGACAATAAGGCATTTTCAGTTTAGAGTATCTTCTGGAAGGAGTGAGGAGAAATCACAACTTTGTTTAACCTTTTTTTTTCCTGCTTTTTTAACATAAGGGACATTACACCTATCTGATCTTTGTGGAAAGGAAATGAGAAATACATTTTTCTTAAGCATTGATTTCAATAGCCTCTTGTTCTCTCAACCGCAAAGTTTGGTCATCTCATCTTCAAGTACTTACAACAAAGATTACTGGCAACTCTCACATCTTATCCTTTCCAACTCCTACCTTCCTTCAAAAGCAGCCTTGAATTCTTTGTTAAAAGGTGACATACTCAACATTTTTCTTTTGGAACTTTGCTTTGTTTTATGTTTTATAAACAAAAGACATGCTATTTTATAAAGTAAAAATTATCAGCTTCATAAAACCACCCAAAATACAATTTTCATGTTAACTGTTTCAACATTCAACAATTTTGGTAATGATTGTGTAATACCAACATATTAAAGTTGATTACTCTCAAACTCTCTATCTTCATCATTAGGGTAAGATTCGTAAAACTCATATTCAAGTATAAAAAATATTTACCATGTGGTCACAGAAACCAAGCATCCTTGACTTACCACTTACGATCATTGTACATTCTATTAATTCTATCCCATTCTGCATTCAGCTGGGTTAGTGCATCTCCTATTTGCATCGCCTCAGGTCCAGATGCTTCTAAGATAACATCAGGCTGCTTCTCATGTATGACTGCAATTTGATCCCCAAGTTTATCCAAAATATCTTTTATGTTCTGCAAGCAGAGTAATGAGACAAGCCATTAGTAAAGTCAACACCAGTAGCAAATTTTAAAAAAATATCAAAAAGTAATCTTTTCAAAATACTGTGTAAAAAAAAACCACAGTATCTACAGTGAGACCATGAGCATCAGCATCAGCAGTTTACAGATTAAATCAGTTTTAGCAACTGAACTGAATAATCCATCACACCTTTTTAAGCATGTGCCCTTCCCAGATTTTTATGAAGAGGATTAAATATTTTATATATCCAATCTGTTGCTTAGGTAAAAGGGCATACCATAGCAGTATCCTCATTATGAAACAAATCTGTCAGTGTACATATTCCTTTCTCATGTAAAAAAAATGAGCCATAAAATATGACTTCATGCTTCATGTAGTCTCCTGTATGCACAGAATGGCAAAAGCATAAGCTACATGGAAGTTTTAGATCTAAATGACAAAGTTAAAGCAATCTATCTCAAATATCATCAAACTATGATGTGAAAACACCTTTAAAACAGATCCTGTTATAAGACTGCCCTGGTATTCAGAGGACAAATGGTTCGTGCAAACAGTGGAATTTACTTATCTTTATGAATTTAAAACAGTAACACTTCTAAAATTTCTATGGTCTGCTATTTGCTTCTTCTAAAAATAGCATTAAAATAGACCAAAATTTCAAAAATGGATGAAAGACCTGCATCAAATTAAAGTATTTTAAACTTGTCTTAACATAAACACTCTTAATAGTACTTAAGGGAGCAGAGAAGCAGAGTAAACAGGGGCAAGAGAATCAAGTTGGAAAAGTGGACTGAAATTCTGAAAAGCTTTTAAAGGACCTGTATAACAGCTGCAGAAACAGCTGATGCAGCTCTAGGTGACAGGTAAAGCCTGACTACCTCAAAGGTGAGGACACATGGACCCCTCTATGCTCATCAATCCATGGAAGTACATCCACACTGCATCACACCATGTGCATTTCCCAAAGCCAAAGGATGTTTTCTGTGGGAATCTCTGTATCGTGCACTTTTGCATGCTCAAGAGTATGGAGAAGTCTGAGTCCTGGTTAATTAACTCGCATTTGACACCATGATTCAATATTTTCAAACATACTTTCTTCACCCCCTTCTGAAGAAGGGCAAATTATTAACCACTTTCTCATCATTAATCACACTGGTAAATCCACTGGCTGGCAATGAGAAGTGGGAGCTTAAAATTGAGCACATATTAATGCTTTGCTAATCAGAACAGATACCGCCGTCTTGTGGCCTCAGATATAGCTTCACACAAAAGTCAAGAATCTCCCTTTCTCTTTCTTCCCATGTGAGCAACTGTTTTCATGTGACACAAAGAGCAGCAGCTGTATTAAGGAGACCAAGCAGGAACAAAAGGAGATTGGTTTTAGTTTTTCTCTACTTGCTATGTAGACTACATGATGAAAGATTTCACCAACAAAATAAGACAAAACTACTCCTCCAACCTCCCACCCAACTTCCACGCTGCTCCACTTTGTATCCAGATTCTGCATAAAAGAAAAATTAGCCACAAAACTGTCTCATTATTTAATTTTCAGTGCATATTGATTCCATATATACTGAGCAAAAATACAAATACAGCTATACAGTCTCTAAGGTGGTCTTTTTTCTTCTGCTACTCCCTTCTGTTCTTCCCTCTGAATATAATGCTTAGGCATGCAGTACCTTTAGTGCATCTTCCTGAGTTGAAAAGTCCTCATAGATGCCAGTATTTAGCTCTGGTGCATTCAGCAGCAGTTCAACATCAGCCATAGCCAGCAAGACTCTGTTGATTTCAACTAAGTATTCAGCCGAAAAAGGCAAGGTCCTAACCCCTGTGGCAAAGTGGCCTTTTAACCTCTGCTGGACAAGGATTGCCTAAAAACATGAAAATTAATTTTATTTTTCAAAGAACAAGTAATTATGAAAAAAATCCTAAACCAGTAGACTATATTAAGAACATGAACTTTTCTCATTAATGGACAAAACAAAGGTCTTTTTAGCAAAGTTACATAAATTCAGAAAGCTGCAAGTCCTGCAGAAAATTGTTTGTTTATTTTTAAAAAGTTAGAAACCAGTAGATATCATGCTTCGCAATGATCCTGTATAATTCTTTATTAAAACTCTGGGGAGTGGGAAGGGCACTGCTATTTCTCTCCCCTTGATCCGTACCAATTCGAGAAATTGCACTTCTTGATCAAGCCTGTATCTCGTCGTGATTACAATGAACTGTCTGCTGCCTCCATCATCAAGGATTCCCAGAAGTTAACAATTTACTGAAGTAGGCCTTTTTTTCCCTCTCCACATTCTCTTCAGTAAGCATCTCCACCCACATTTCCCAACAATTTTTAAATAAATTAGTGCTCCACCAGTACAATATGCTTTTTGCAGTAATAAGAGACACTAAGGTCTGAAAAGCTTGGCAATTGTTACTTGTTCTGGCCGTATGACCAGCTATCTAGCCAAGTACCATGTTAGCAGATAGGAAAGCAAGAACAGTAATTTGATGCAGCTTTTTCTTGGGTCATAAATGATGGTCTGGATCTGAAAAATTAGGAAGCCAGCTGCAAGAAGCTATACACTGCCACACCTGGTAAAGGTAGCAGAGGCAGGTGAAGCAGATACTCCATAGACCGAAAACAGGTTTTTGCTGAAAAAGTTTCTTGTTAAACAAGATAGTTACCATATCTGAAAACAGACCAGTTCTTCAAAATCAATAAAAAAAGTAAACTCACCTCCAAATACTGAAGAATTCAAGCAACTTCTAAGCCACCCTCCTGTACTCGGTGAATTTGAGCCAGACAGAGGCACTCAACTGTATGATTTACTAACAGCTAAGAATACACTTAAGAGTGTGAAGCATAAATCTATGTTCACAGCAATTTCAACCTGCAAATTTTATTTTGCAATCAGTCTGGGCTAGGTGCACACATGCAATTCATTCGCACAGCTGACAAACAGTAAAATATTAAGCCCCACTTACAAAGCCTGTATCTTCCTCCTTCACATGTTTCTGAGCATTTGAAATATGTCACTCAAATTAACTGCAATCTAACATATGCAGCATGTGTAGTTCAAAAGAAAAAGGGACTGCAGCTGAATGCTCATGTATTCATTGTTCAGAATTTCTTCTCATGCACTGAATGGTCCTAAGCATTTTATTTGTTTTGTGTTGGTTTGGGCTTTTTCAGTTTGTTATTTTGAAGTAGACTGACAGCCCTGTGACTGGGGACACAGTTGTACTTCCACAAGACCTATATCACCAAACTCAGTATGTTTTCAGTCCACACTAAAGAGATACAGGCACATAAGCATAAATTTAGTCTACTGAAAACAAGTATTACAGACAAGCATCATAAAATAGCATTGCTTTTGATTCAGTAACAGTACAGCAAGCACACACCGCAGTAAAAACCATAAACTACTCCATATGCTTTAGTGACAAATCCAGCATCTTAGTCCCTGATGCTACCCAAACACATTTTCTTGAGACACTGTGTATGTTCTCTCAGCTTCCATCACTGAAATTTGGAGCAAAAGCCCAAGGCTTAGATAGTGGTATTATTTCCTGTAGAAGGAGAGGCCACAGCACCAAAGAAATCAGACAAAACTTGTGTAACTCAGTGTCTTTTCTCCAGCAATGTGGAATAAACCTGGGTTTGAACAGACATCAGGATGCCTGCTGCAGCACAGGTGCCTGCAGCATCTTCACAAGGTGTTTTCACTCTCCATGATCCCACAAGTCCCATTCTCACACAGGCAATAGTCCAGTATCTGGACTTCACCTCAGTGAACAGGTCAATGGACTTTATTCTCTTTCTACTTCATGCATTTTGCTTTATTTCCTATTAGAAAAAAGTTGCACAAGATTTAAAACAGTATCTGTTGGCACACAGCAAAATTGTTTTCCACTTGTTGCCTACACTGAGGTATATTGAAACGTTCTGCTTCCCTGGTAGCACTCCCCTGGGCCAGGTTGTTGCTCTTCTGCAAAGCAGTGAATCCCTCCTGCAGAGCAGACCTCATTGCTAATCTCCTCCAGCTGCCTCCCATCACCAAGATTATATTTCCTCCTTTCACAACCCTCTATCTTAAAGGTGAACATGTGTTATAAACACATTAGTGCTTTACTACAGCCAAGTTTAAAATTGTTCAGCTGTTCTCTACCTTGCATTGCAGACTGTCAGCTCCTAAAACGCAGCATAAAGAACAAAAAAATGGAAGACCAGAAGTTTGACAAAGCTGTCTCATACAAATCAAACATCTAAATGTCACAGAAGCTGGTTTATAGGGTGTTTTGTTTTTAAATGAAAGCAGGCAAACTTCTTTTAAGTTTTCACAAATAAAAAGTTAATCAAAGGTTATTTAGAAGGACATCTGACTAGATGACTTAGACAACCTTTTCTACTTCAATTTCAGTTATAACAGCATGTTTATTAAATTTGGTCTGTCTTTAAATACTAGGAAAAATGTAGGACTGGGGGAAAAAAGGGAATACTTAGTTACTGGTGTGCATTCTATAAATAAAGCTTCTCAATGAGAGCCGCTCAAAATAATTTTAATTAAGTGGTCAAAAAAATTTGTTTCCTCCTACACTTAATGTGTGGAGGAGGAATTAATTCTGTAATTCAGAATTTAGTTTCAGATTTTCTTCCCCTTCCCTTTTTTACACTTAAATATATTTTGAAACAAAATCTACCAAGGGTTCAACTCAAGGAGATATTTTGACTTGCTTTGAAGTAGAAGTTATTGCAAAATACTGGCCAGGAAAATGACATAAAATTAAATAATTTACCTTGGATGTTTTACTACATAAACATTTTAACCAAAAATGTTTACTCAATCAAATCTCAGATCACCACACATTACTTATTCTCTTTGCAAATAAATACACTTTTTATTAGAAATGCTCACTTTTCAACCATTCCTTGCCTCCTTCTCTCTCACACAAAATATTTCAAAGCCAGTTCCTAAGAAAAGGTTTTCCAAAGCTAAAATCCTACGTCCACTTTATTTGTTTTTTTGGGTTAATTACTGCAGTCAGTAAGCACCATATTTGCAGGCAATGTAGCTAATGGTTCATATTTAAGTAACCCAGAACCTTCCCTATAAAAAGCACAATAGGCAAACAAACATGTTTTCTTTACTACAGGAATAATACTTTAAGAGCTTCAAGATGGTGTCTGTGTTTCAGTTTATAGGAAAAACTGCACTGTGCCTACAACAGCAAATTCACTTCCCATCTGCAAAATTATCATTTTCACTTCAAAACAGTTTTCTAAAACCTGGAAAAACCTCTCCGGAACTTCAGTCAACTAATTACCTCTGCAATTTAAGGTTTAATTTTTCTTTTCACTCATTCTGAGACAAGCCAGAATACAGCAATTTAAATAAATACTAAAGCAAGGTTTGAAAAGAAGGAATTCAAGGAGATATAAACTTCAGGTGCAGGCTTTCCCAGCTAACAGATTTGTGGCAAAACAAGAGTTATTCAGAAGTACCTGCTATGCAGAAGGGTTACCAATATTTCAGAGACACTTAACTCCATAATCCCTTGAAGAATACATGATGAGGAATATTTATGAACCAGCTACTTCCAGCAAATCAATATATAGATAAATACAACCTTCAAGCTGAATAAATAGGTCCTCCCCTCCATATTCATTTACAAAAGTGTAAATAATGCATTACATAAAACCTTAATTGCAGTCTACTTCCCAGCTTGGTGGCTGAAATCCTTCTTTCCCTCCCTGTTTGTTCATCTCAAATGCTATTTTTCTCTTCCTCTGCTCAATGCACCTTCCTTACACTGAGGTGAGGGGTTGAGGCAGCTGCACAACAGTGGGTCAAGAATTCATTTCGTGCTTCTCAGTCCTGAGATGATCCTGCAATTTGCTATTTGGTAGCCTAGGAGCCCTATGGATATCACCACGGTTTCCCTTTCCCTAAAAAAGACATCCCTACTGACTAAAGAAGGGGAAGGGAGGGTGTCCAAGCACTGAATGGATGGTGAAAATTTGGGAAGGGCAGTTTCTGTTGCAGAATTTTAACATTAGGGTCCCCCATAGTGCTCAGGGTGAGTCAAGTCTGGCAGCTCCAAGAAAATTCTGGAGTAACTATGTTCGTCTAAAATGATGATGATATTTGGGAACACTATTTCTCCCTTTAGAAATTGTATGGCCTCATACTATTTTTGCTGTTCAAGATCAATTAGTGAAACACGTAAAAGAACAAGCCATGAAAGTAAAGCAAGGTCACTTGAGACAGGCTGCCTTACCACTCAAATATCAGAAAGCTAGAGGCACGTGAAGCAAAAGCAGCTGTTTCAGAGTTTCACAGCAGTAATGAAAATTACTGTGGTCCCTTTCTGAAAGCCTAGCTGACTCAGCCAGACTACATCTGAAAGGATAAGGATAGTTCTACACAACTTAACTAATTCTGAACAAAGATCACATTTCTCCATCAATAGTCTACTGTAATTTCTATAGTAAGAGAAATATTTACACAATATTCTGCATTCAGCATCCACATACAAGATGCAGGAATGGATACACCACTGCCAGGGATTAGCAGCAGTATATCCTCTATAGAAGGAAATGGATCTTCCTTAGAGAAGATCAATCAACCTGCAGTGAGACCAGCAGTGACAGAGGTCAGCTAATGGCACTGGACCACTCTCATGAGCAAAGAGCCATCCAGGTGCACCTTCTTTTTCCAATCCAGTAATGGATTCACTCAAAACAGCTGATGGTCAAACAGAAAAACTGAATCATGCTGTTTGCTCTAAATGTGTATGGATCCTCATTTCTGTCAAACAAATCCCCTGGCATCAGGGGAGCACATGTGCAAGTACCACAGAACACCAACAGTGACCACTGGCAAACAAAGAGGTCAGATGCCTGAGAGTTAAACAGACCCTGGGGCCATCTTTGCTGCCCAGCTCTGCATGGGAAGCTTAGCATTTTTAAAAGTCTCTCTGAAGAGAAGCCGATTTAAAAGGGTTACTTTCATAGCTGATATAGCCTGCATAACCAAGGAAAGCAGACCAATCGCCGTAGATCTACAGCTACTATAGCCAGCTGAAGCCACATAGGATTACAGCTGTGAACAAAGAGCATCATGTTCTGATTTTGTGGTGTGAGTCTCACAGGGAACCAGAGCATTTTATCCCTGCCTCCAAGTTAATTGGTGCTGGGTTAAAAAGTTACAGAGCAGTCAAAAAGAGATTGATTGGTTTTAATTATGAAGCAGAAACTGAGTACTTGACAGATTGCCTAGCCCCCAGGCTTGTCCAAGAAATTACTTACTGCTTCACAAGGTTCCTCACTGTTATTGCCTAAAATATTAATGTAATTACTGTGTGGCCAAAGTATTTTGAAGGATGAAATGGAGAAATAAAATTTAAAAACAAAAACCCAAATCAAAACAAGCAAACAAAAAATAAACCACCAAACCACTACAAAACAAAAAACCCCACACAAAACAGAACAAAACCACTGAAAGTATCTGTTCCCTCAGCAATTAAGCCATACAGCTTTCTGACTAGCAAGTTTTATCAGACCCAGACATCCTATTAAATCAGCTGTGAAATTGTTTGTCAAGACCCCCACATACATTACTACAGACAATTCTTCTCATCAAAATACTTCAACTTTTGTCATTTTTATCTATTTTCATTGTGTACAGTAATATCAATCACACAAGCATAGTTATCACTCACTAAGCACTTGAGGCAGTGAAAACCAGCATCAGAGTATCTACAATATCCTGACCACAGGATGCAGAGGCACTGAGTTTAAGCCTTAAATGAGGCTTATCATACCTGCAACAACCAGACATAGAATCAGGCTGTTTTAGCCAAGGTATCAAAAAGATCTAAGCATAACTCCCATGAGCAAAACTGGCAAAAGAAACCATCCTGATTCAACCACACTGCCCAAATCACACTCTAAGACTTAGGCCTAATGACTGGGACATTTTGGACCTATGATGACTATGTAGAAATTCCAAACCAGTATATGCTGATAATTTCCTAATGAAAAATGAATGCTGTCATTTCAAAAACACTTCTTTCCAAGACTGTGTCAAAAGAACAGTGATAAAACCCTAATATATGAATCTCTAAAGCTCATACTTTGCATTCACTCTGCTTACTCTAAGAAAAAAGTCTAATTTACCCATGAATTTTGTTCACTTTCTACTCCTTGCAGCCCTGGCAGATGCTGCTGGGGACCAAAGACAAGTGAGGCAAATGCCAAATTGTCTGTACCCAGCTGTGAAAATACATATAGGGTTGTCCTCCATGAAGCTGTGAAAAGCACTTCAAAAATCAAAACCACTCCCTCAAAACTTGGAATTACAAAATTCATATTTTGGAATTGCAAAGATCCAGAGAGTCAGACTGTGTGTACACACTTTTAACTCTTCCCCAGAGAATCTTATACACTAAAAAAGTCATAACTAAGTTGTAAGTGGGACACCAAAGGGAAGACGGCATAAAAGACCTTTAACTATAGTAACTGTCATAATCATACCTGCACACTATTGTACTTTTTCTGCAGAAGCAAGAGCTGTATGTAGACTTCTCTCTCTTATGGTCCTCCATAGGCTGCTGTAACAACTGCCCTCCTCTCTGTAGAACTTTTTCAACCTGAACTCTTTCTTGATCCAGCTAAAATTGCACTGTATTGCCTACAGAAAGCTAAGCTACGGTTTCCAAAATTAATTTATTACCTGTCTGGATATTAAAAGTAATGGTACCAAAATGTTGCTTTGGTATCCAAATGTGAGCCAAAGTCAAGCAGCGATTCTCCTCCACAACTACCAAATCATAAAATCCAATTTGGTCATTCCATAAACTTCATAAAGAGATGCCCTGCAGGAAGCTCACTCAGTGAGCCAACAGTAGGCAGCCACAGCAAGAAGGTGCTATGACTTCAGCTCCATTTCTATTCTGAACATTCTTTGACAATAATAAGCAAGCTCAGAGCAGAACAGCAAGAAAACAAAAATATAATATAAAAACAGCTGTAAGGAAGCATATGTTCTATAACAATAGGTCCTTCCACAGAGACCTTCCAAAAATGGATTTCTGTAGTGTACATGCCATTTTCCATAGACTTATATTCAGCTTTCCAGCTCAGTTTATACTTCATGTGCCTAAAAAGAAGGCAGATAGGGCAGCCTGAAAGAACTTTACCCAATTTTCTAGTCAACAAGATGCAAACAAAAGTATGACTGTTCTATACAGATGAATAGCAAAGCCTAGATAAGAATCTAGAAAAAGATAGATTTTGTTCCAAGTTCTTATTTTGACTTTCTATGAGCCTTATTACAACACCTCTATTTCTACCTTATCACACAAGCATCCACTGACCCGATCTATGCATCTATGATTCAGTGTATCATAACAGTTAAAATGTTAAGTGAAGAAAATTGTCTGCCCAATGACATAGATTAGAGGCCCAAAACTGCCAAATACAGAGTCTCAGCTGCATTGAGTAATAACCGCAATATAAATTCAGACAATTAGATATGAAGCAAGAAAAAAAAAAAAGTGTTGCACCCTATTACTTTTACAGGAAGGTTTCCTTATAAACAGCTGCTCTGAGCAGAAGAGAGAAAATGAATGAAAATCAAAGTTCACTACCTGAATCATGTAAAACCATACCAAAAATACAGACTGATATATGACTAGTTACTGTCAATGCATCAGTCAAGAGGTGGCGGCAGCTATGGGAAAAGTACAGGAATATTGTGCAGTGTTTCCAACAATCTTGTAATACCCTTAATTTTCTACTTCTGTAGAATTCTCAGAATTCCCCCTTGAAGTGTGGGGCAATGTAACACGAGGACAAAACAGAAAGGTAGTTAGTTATTTAATTCTTCCACCAATCACCAACCTTTTCATCTTCCCTACTCAACTCCAGACGCTTCTCCACAACTTTTAACATATTCTGTACATCACTCTCAAATTTTTCCAGGTCTGGAAAAGCTACTCTGACTTCACGGGGGTCTGACATGACAGGAAGTCGTTCTTGTCCAACAAGCATCTGCAAAGCAAAGCAAAACAAAACTTTGTTCAAGCTGAAAAATTAGTCTGAGCCGTGACACAGAGTTTAATGATTTAAACCAATTGCCCATGAACAGGCATACCAGTTTGTAGGACCATCAGATATCAGCATTAAAAAAAATTTGCAGGACTTGTTTGATCTAACACTGAGACTTGGATGCAGCGTTAATAGAAATTACCAAGCTTCTACCTTCAAATTTCAATCTGAGCATTTTGAACTCAAAACAAACAGAAAAATCTACAGCCACATTATCTTATAGCGTTGTTCTGTAGTTCATACAAATACATACTGCAATATATAAATTTTTCTGGATTTTTATAACACAGTTATTTGTAAATTTTCCTTTGCAACTCAAGTCATCACCTGCTACCCAGGTAAAAAAAAGCAGTTGGTCTAAAATCAGTCTGTCTCTTTTTCACATATAAATATCTACACTTCAAAGAGAACCAAAAGCAATGAAGTGCTGCCCCCTAAAGCTATTTGCCATGGTTTTGACACAGACCCCTCCAAACACGTTTTGGGGCTTGCTCATCCTCACCTTGGCACTTCTGATGTGCTGAGAGACCTTCTCAAAGTTACGGTTCAGTTCTGCCAGTTTGGGTTCAACAAGTTCACGGCACGACACCCCCCGTCCATTCATTAGGATGATAGCCTGATCACGCACATTATCCACTCGAAGACTAACATCATCTAATTCAGATGTTAAGCGCTAAGAAGTGAAAGAAGATGCAAATGGTTACCCAAGGAAAGGAAAAAAATATTTAAAAAGAGAAAAAGAAAAAAACCAAACAAACCAAAACCAGGCAGCAAACCTGACTTGACTTCATTTGGAATCCAGAAGTGGTTACTTGACAGCAACACTTCTTACCTTCACAGTTTCCTCCTTTTTGCTTGCTGACTTTTTCTCAATTTCATCCAGCAAGGCTTCAGCCTGATACAGCCAAGTACTTATGTGGGCAACATTTTCATCAAATATTTCCAACTGGCCCTGATGATTCTGGGAAAAAAAAATGAAAAAAAAATATCTATGTGACAAACAGACAAAAGAAAAGAAATCCACAAAAATCCTCAACACAAAACCCAAAACCACCCACATAGTAAAACCCCACACCAAAAAAAAAAAAAAACCCAAACCCTGCCAAAACCAACAGTATGAGTAAAAAGGAGATCAATGGAATAGTGTTATACATACACCTTGGAAACGAACAGTGAAAATTAGACTGTACATTTCACCTTCAGCAAGTGTTTACAAGAATTCAATTGTTATTCTAGACCCTTTGATATCATTCCTAATTCTTAGAAAGGGAAACAGAAATAGCTGAGGTGGTTTGTCCAACTAAATATAGTTAGACAATATATTTACAGTGTTACAGCCAAACCACAACATTTCAGTTGATCAAAAACCCATTATTTTTTTCAGCTATCACTAGCAGATACAACAGTACACATTATGTGTGGTTGTCACTGGGATTTTTTAATTGAAAGAGGATTACACCAAAACATACAAATTATAATAGCCAGGTTTTTATATTTTACCGATTACATTAAAATATTTCTCTCTTAAGAACTTAAGTCACCATGTTGTAGACATGTTAATTAGGTCTGCTTTCATATGCAGTCAAACTGTAATATTAGGTGCCACAAACAGAAAACAAGACATTATTCTGTGTGTCAGAACAAAGCTAAAAGATGAAAAGTACCATCCTGCTTAAGCACAGAGTTCCTTACCCAGAAAAGGGGTAGCTAAGCTTTGATCTTTTAGACTAACAAAAGAAAGGGAGGGAACAAAAGAGAGAGAAGGCTCTCTATATCAACATCATGAAATTTTCAGCTAAAGAAATAACAGTTTAACCTAACAAAGTCAAGAGAAGAACAATACTTATCACCAGACACAAACATAATTTAGGTTTTTAGTTTGGGATCATCCTTACAGCATTTATAAACATGGGTAAACTATCTGACTACTCCTAACATGGGTATCATTGGTCTATGAAACAAACAGTAAGACCTGTAACAGACATTGGACAGGATGCACAGGGCTCAGTATCTAGGTATACACCAAAGTTTCCACAATTTAAGCCCATATCAGGGGCTTCTGAAAGTAGATTGTCATAACTAGCTGAACACCACAAATACTTTTACTGCCTGAAAACATCAACTGTAAAATGTTTCATGTCCATTTACCAAAACTTGCAGCTTTAGACTGTCTAATACACTTAGTTTTCCATTTACTCAGACAAACAGATGCTGCTGGCCTCAACTCTTGAGTTGGCATACTCTTAAACACTTGCTGTTATGGGCTGTCCGAAAGAGCAATAGGCTCACAAAGGGTCCCAAGTGCTTTGCTGAACACCACTAGGAAGTTATCAATTGTCCATTAAACAGTCATCATCTGGGTCTTGGGAAATCTATTGACACAAAAATGCTCTGTTCATGCTGGAGCCGGCACAGAGGTTTCTTTCAGGCTGAATAAAGAGCAGCAGACTGCAGCCTCATGAGAACCTATTTTTTGGGGGTAGTTCCTTTTGTTTTCTACTGATATTAATAAATTCATGAACTTGTAGTAAGTTACACAAAAATAATATGCAACTTCTGGGCTTTAACCTGTTATGAAACACAAACAATACTTCCATAACCTGGTGGGGTTTTTCCCCTCATCCTAATCTTATAGTATCTGCTAACTACCAGCTAATGAGTAAATACACTAGCAGTTTTATGAACACTTGTATGCCCCACAACCCACTCAGTCTACGTGCAATGGTAGATACCCCCTTTCAAGATAGTTTAGAAAGTTAGTTTTATGCACTAGGGTAGCAATAATTGTATTAAGAGCTAAATAACAATTGGACACAAAAGGTTAGCACTATTAGTAGAGCAAAGGAGAAAGAGAACACATCAACAGGGAAGAGGTACAAGGAGGTAAATTAGTAAATAAGGACAAAAAATTAAAAATTTAATATGATGGCACACAAAGGAGCAGGGGGAGAAAAGGAAAGACAGATTAAAACAACAAATGTGTAAAAGGTGCTCACTAATCATATGCTGGATTTTCTATAGAAAAGAGGATTTACACCACAAAGTCTAGGGGGAGTAAGAACCCAGAAAAGAGACTTAGAACTGAAGCTAGGAGAAAGACAAAGGCAAAGGAAAAAGAAAAGTTAAACTCAGTTTTATTCTCTACAATTAAGCAGGTTATTCCCACCAGGTCAAGTTAACTGTCTGCCTGGGATATTTACATAGTTTCATCAGTCTAACCTCCAGATTCTGCATTTTCATATCCTACCCACCAAGAAATAGCCACTACTACCAAGCACATGGCACCAATGCCTATCAATGCCTTTATGCCTAAAACACTTGCAAAACAATTTCCCACCTTCCTCACTGTATATAACCTCATGACTCACCTCTCCAGCTGCAGAGTAATCAGATACATTCATCTAAGTCCATAAAGCACCATGGAAGCTTCACATAACAGCACAGTGAGACACATAAAAACTGCAACTGCTCCAAGGGTGTGGAGACAGAACCACTCTGAATTTTTCTCACACATGCAACTTACCAACAAGGTGTCACACCAGTCCTCTGTCCAGGTCCGAACTCTGCTCCAGCCAGCATTAAGGACACACAGCTTCTCCTCCAGGGAAGCCTCACTCCCTTCCACTAGAGCCTGAAGTGCGGTGCAGCTTTCTGTGATGCTCTTCAGATCAGATTTCCTCCTCTCCAGCTCTCTCAGCACATTCTGAAACAAGACAAGCCATTAACACTGCACACTGCTTCCAATCACAAGGGCAATGGACACACATCTTTACCTCCACAGGAAACAAATAGTATCATAGATGATCTTCATTTGAGAAAAATCAAACCAACTAGAATCACCTTCTGTTTGTACTCACTCACTGTAGACAGTGATCTGAGAGTGTGCACAAAATGCATGTAAGTAACCTGAATAACTTAGCCTGAGACCTTTTTGTTTTGTTGTTTTATATCTTCACAGTTCCTTTTCATTATGCAGGTAAAGCAAATGCACCGCATCACATTATAGGTCCAGTTTTAAAAGGTTCTTTTCAGCACTGTCAAGCACAACAGAGAATGTTATTTTCAAGAGACACTTCGAATTTCTCTGTATCTTTTCCTCTTAAAGTACTTTTACAGCTGACAACAATGAGAAAAGTGGTAGGCCAAGGCTAAATGTTTTTTTGAGAACAACCACCACTCATTACTGCGTATATTCAATTCACTTACTACATATTACAGAAGCCCTATTGTATTACCTATCCGTAGATATGTAAATATATGTATTGTTAGCTCTAATATTTTTTCCAAATAATCTCTGATTTAAAATAGTGGGGGTTTTTAATCTAAAAATTAATCACCTTCTTTGAGAGAATGTGTACTGACATACAGATAAGGTAAAATGTCATCTCTTGAATATCAGTATATGGTTTCCATGTGAAAATAGCACCTCTTGCCATAGAAGACCACTGATTATTATTGATAAAATCTGGCTAATATTTAGAATGATCTTTGGTGTCCATGTGCAGCATGTGGAAGAATGCAGTTAATCACAACTAGTGTCTGGATCTCCCTGAACATCTTATCTGTGAAGTAAATGATTTATTATTATATCACAAAATATTATCTTAGAGACAGAGAAAATACTCAGGTTACTACATTTTAAAATTGCCTCTAGAAAACCTTAAGACAGGATGGACAACTTTGCATACAACATAAAGTAGAGTAAGTATACATCAATAAGTATTTACAAGCTTGTTTGGAAAGAAATCTTAGGGATACAGCCACAGCAGAAGTGTAGTGCTAATAATTGTTAAACCTGAATGAAATAGGTGAAAACAAGTTACAATTAGAGGGGTTTTTTTAATTTTATATGCTTTCACACTAAGATTTTACACAGACCTATTCCAAAAGTAAAAGGTTACAGTAAATTACTGGAAAGATCAGTATTGCTGAACTGTATCAACTGACACTTGTTGCCAACTCCCACTATTACATATACAAGTTTCTACAGTGCAAGAAAGTAGATACTTTGCTTCAGAATAATTATAACACATTCACCTGCTTCCATGAAAAGTTCCCAATTTATAGATGAAAGAAAAAGAACAACTACAGGAGCTTTTCCTTTTGCGGAGTCACAATTTTGAAGACAAAGCTGTTCCATTGAGAGTTAAAACTCAATTTTTCATTAAAAACGTCAATGAACTTTAAGTTTGCTCTATTAGTAAAATACTTGACTCATCCTAAAGTTATATCTGCTGATAGTTAACACTATTATACTTATGAACTATGTCAGAGATACAGTAAGTCACTTACATACCTACTAATATCAAATATGTAGTAATATCTAATATTTCAGTGGCCATTTAAGTTTGAAGCAAGATGTCAGATATAAAACAGATCAGGCTCAGTAAGTATCGAATATGATCTACTGGATCTACTAAAATTTCACAATGCAAGAGATTTAGGACCCAGTTATAGGGATTTAAATTCACAGCCACTTCCATGTGGTATTGCCATAATGTTAAACATTTATTCTAGAGATATTTAAAGCATGCTTACTTTGGCCCAGGCAATTTCTGAATCTAGATCAGAAAGCAAGCTCTCTGAAGTGGACTTCTGCACAAGCTCAGCCTCAGTGGCAGCCAGCCACTCTGACAAAGAGGCAGCCTCTTTCCTCATTTTGCGTGCCAGCTGGGATGCTCTTTCAAGGTCTTGTTTTCCTTCTGTCACCTACAAAAAAAAGGATAAAAAACCCAAAACTAGAGTTTTAAAGATAGCAAAACCAAAATCTAGCCAGCTACAATATCCACCCAAATATATAAAATCCTTGCATCTTAAGATGGTCTTGCATTAGGGAAGGACCTTGAAAAGATAAATCATTTATAAACATCTGCATCTTACTATACAAAGCAGAATATATAAAACTAGAATAATTTTAAATCAAAACAAAGACAAAGAAACCTGCATAGCAACTTATTTATAGTTAATAAACCTATGTTTAAACTTTGTTTATTATGTTCTTTTAAATGAAACTCAAAGGAATTATAGAATCCAGTCAGCGACAAAGGTAAAATTCAATTCCTTTCTGTATTTTGATAGACCTGCTAGCAGAAAGCTATAAAGAAAAATTTCACTGAAACTCTAGTCTGCCCTTGAAAACATCTCAGTAAAGTGAATATGAAGTTTGATGTTTGCTGCAGTATCATCAATTATATTTCACATTGGCTACACAATTAGTCTGGTCAAACTTTAACATAGACTCGAGAATAAATCCAACCATAGCAGTCAGAATCAACAGACATTTCAAAAAATTCCCTTCTGTCTCAGCTTAACGTTCGCATGTATTTATTCAAAATAATGCACTCTTCAAAGATCTAAAAAAATTAATTCAGACACAAACAAAATCATAACACTATACTGCAAATAACTTTGCCTTTCTCTCATTTCCCAGTTTCTTGTCTACATGCTTCCTGAGTTATAGATGTGTAGGTTCCACCAGAATGCACAGCCTGGTGAATGTCCTCCACTTCATAACAATAAAATATTTCCTAGGGTCTATTTCAAAATATTCCAACAATGAAATCTGGGCACTTACCTATAGCTTCTTTTGCAGAACACTGAACAGGTGTGAGTCTGCTTGGTCTCCTGTCTTAATTTGGGTAGGAAAAGAATCCCCTATTTCCCCCCTGCCCCTAAGGGTTTAACCATTTTTAAACACTTCACTTGAATAAATACCTGTTCAATTACTAAGAAAATTACTCAAATCAATATTTAATTCAGTTGATGGGAAATACAGGTTTGTCTCCATTTTCTATTTCATACTGAGAGCAATCTTTTAGATGGATTACAATTAGAAACCATCATGGCACCTTCTAAAAAATCTGAACGTCTCTTATGATAGTCTGATAGTATATTATCTTGCAGGCTGGTTGACAGTTATGAGAAAGTACAACGTTGCTCAAAGACTTTAACAAATAGCAGACCAGCTTTGCCAGAATGATGAAAGCTCTGTGAACCTTCCTTTCTTCAAGGCTACCTCACCTTTGGGAATATCCTGTGAGCACCGAAGTCTTCACAACTACAGGATTGTTGTGTATTCTTTAATCTCTCAACTGATTGCTTCTGGATGTAGCAACTAGCCTATACAGTATCAGCTTCAGAATCAAACTTAAAACAGCATCTGACATCAAAAACAACAAAGAAGGGAAATTTATATGCAGACAAATGTTCATATATACTTTTTTTTCCTTACCTGTGCCCCCAAGTCATTGTAAAGAAATTTCAATGCTGTCAGTTGCTCATCCATCCCTTTGGGATTATCTGTCTGTTGTTTCTGTACAATTTGCCTTCCTGTCTTGATGACCGTTTCAACCTCCAGTTTCACCTCACTGAGGGTCTTATAGAGTTTCTAAAAACAGAAGTATGTACATTGATGATCAATTTGTAGTGCAGATTTTCAGACTTTGCACCACTTGGGGTCCTGACCCCTGATTCCATTTAAACTCTGGGCTATGGATTCAGAGCAATGTCTGCTAAGATTTAAAATTCCTGATGTTCCGTATTTTAGTCTAGTTTTCTCTTTCAGAAAAAAAGAAAAAAATTCCTAATATTTTAGCAGCGTTTACTCCACAACGTCACCACACGTGGCAAGGCTAACATTGCGATCTGTACTTCATCTTCTGTATAGTATTTGTTTTGTTCAAGTACTAAGAACCAAGCAAAGTTGCCCCTGGAGCAATGCTTCTCCATAATACAAGGATGAGCTAGAGAAGGGAGTTTTTATAAACTCAGCTGTTCTACCACATTTGTGATCAACAATCCACTACTTTTATGTCCACATTCTCACCCAGAAGAATTAGAGGTTTTTAGTTAGCTATTGTTCTGTTGGCATTTTGCAAAGAGTTGTAAAAGTTCCATCAGGACTTTAAGCATAATTTCCTCAGGAGCGAGTTCAGGTAAGAAGAATCACACGAGAAACAAACACCTCCAAGCATGACTTAAGAGTATTGCACACTTACCATGCATTTGTCCAGGTGAGTTTGGATTACATCTGGGTCAGTACCTTTCACATCCAAGACATGAAGCTCTGCTTTTACACCATCCAACACCCGCTTGCAATCCAACATGCGCTGCTCAAAATTGGCTGGTTTCTGGAAAAGCTGATACTTTGTAGACACTTCACGGAGTTTTCTCTGTTTTAATGAATGTCATGTTAAAAGATTGGTTTAAATTAATATCTACGCTTCAAAAATAACATTTAAAGCATCTCTCCCTTGCAGATTCTAACTTGCCTCTCATGCCACCACAACTCATGTGTACACATGCAGTGTTCCCAGGTGGCCAAGGTGACCAATGGCATTCTGGCTTGTATCAGGTATAGCGTGGCCAGCAGGACCAGAGAAGTGATTATCCCCATGTACTCAGCACTGTTGAGGATGCACCTTGTGTACTGCGTTCAGTTTTGGGTGCCACAGGATAAGAAAGTCATTAAGGTGCTGAAAAGAGTCAAAAGAAGGGCTAGAAAACTGGTGAAGAGTCTTGAGAATAAGTCTTATGAGGGACAGCTGAAGCACTTGAGGTTGTTTAGTCTGAAGAAGGCTTAGGGGAGACCCTATCACTCTCTACAACTACCTCAAAGGAGGTTGTAAAGAGATGGGCATGGATGTCTTCTCACAAGTTACAACCAATATAACAAGAGGAAATGTCATCAAGTTACAGCCGGGGAGGTTTAGGTTAGACATTAGGAAAAAACTTCACACTGAAAAGGTTGTCAAAGACTGGAACAGACTGCCCAGGGACATGGTGGAATGCTTGTTTCCTAAAATGTAAAAAGCATATAGTATTTACTTTTGAGGTCTGGTTGACTGCACAAAGCAATTTACAGGCTGACAACAGTAGCATGTAACTGAAAACCAAAAGCTCTTCAGATTTCTTAGTGTGAGTCATATTTTTACCTGCAAAGCATCCAGCTGAGTTCCACCACGAGGAGATCTGCATTCAGGAGACGCAGGAGGGAAAGAATCTTGAGCTCCTCTAAGGTGGATTCATGAGCTGCAATCTCAGCTTGAATTTTCTGCCATGTCATAGAAACAAGAAAAAAAATTGTTACCAAGTTGCTTGTAGAGAGGGGAAAAGGAACTTGCTTACCACCAATACCAACCAGAAGCAAATATACTCTGTACACTACCAGCTTTATTTTAAAAGTTCTGGATCTGGTAACAGCTTACTAGATTCAAAGCAATTAAGACTGTTATTCAATACACCCTTCTTAAAGCAGAAAAACAATCCAGATTACAAAAGATACCACCTACTACAACAGCACAGGACTGAAGTGAAGTCTTCATGAATTACTAAGCCTAGGCTGAGCAATGTCACAAGATGTTTCAAAATGTCTTATAGTGAAAAGCTGTAGGGGAATACCTGGGCCTCCTGGGGCATCTGAAAGGCATCTACCCTATCAGTAAGGTAAGATGTCAGCTGTCTATCCAGCTCCACTAAGTTCTCCTGCAAGACCTGCAACATGTGGTCGGTTTCTCGCATGGTCTGTAGCTGCTGTTCCAAGGCTATCTGCCGGCTCACCGCCTGCGTGGGACAGAAAGGCAAAACAAGATGGAGCAGTAATTCAATACAAATTATAATAAACTTCCTCAAAACAAGGTGAGGACACCCAGAAAAATCGTATGCCAGGAGGACTGTCTAAAAAGAGCAAAGACAAGCCCTAGAAGGCAGCAATTTTTGGAGCCTATGATTCATACCAGTAACAGACAAGCAGTGGCATAGAAGGAGAGTTCTGTTGCTAAATATACAGTATAGTGAAAACAGGTCTGTCCTGTCACCTCAGGAACAAAGTATTCTGTAAAAACATACCAGTTCCAAAAAATAGCTATTCAATGGGAACTGGGGACTTTGTAATACACTACAGACCAATATTTTTTTATGTGTAAACTTGCACATTTTCTTTCAAAATAACAAACTCTGTCTCTCTATTGCAGTGTGAAAACAGAGCTTCACAGTTCTTTTCCTCTATTACCTCTCTTTTCAACAGCAAAACTTCTTAGTTCATCTGAAATTTCACTACTTGCATGGGAACACAGATTCCCCATATGCACAGACTAGTGGGTACACATACACACACAGAGATATGGAAAGCTGTCAACAGCCCAGCGTGTCAGCCCTCCAGCTGCCAAAGCAGATAGTTCTTATAAGGCAATAAAGTACTGTTGTAACAGGAAAAACAATAGTGAATGCTAAGTTAAATGATACCATGTAGCCCCTAGCTGAGGATATTGCATTCGTGTTGCTCACTGTAATGAGGATGAACTGAAATTCCCTCTATGACTACACTTTAGCAGTGACAGAAAACAACTCCTATCCTACAATTTGGCAGGGGCCTGTATTACCAGGATACAGAAGACATGTTACAAATTTATGCACTCTAAAATACAGCTAGTCTTCCTCTCTCTATTAAATCTAGAAAAGATTAGACTAAAATACAAGAGGAGGAAGGGGATAACATAATAGATGGGAAATAAGAAAAGGCTGTCCTTCTGTTCCTTATTTCAGTACGACTTATTCCTAGCTATTTACAAGAGTGAAAATGTCACTTATGTTCCTCATTTTTACAGTTCGCAAGCAGCTCACCAGTATTTATGGCAGTAGGAAGGGAATATTAACTTCAGTTATTGAATTGCCCCCCTTGAGACCGGAATTGCTTTTTTGTGAAAGTTACCTGGAAAAATACCAGGGGTCCCTGCAGTGCAAGGGTGTGCAAGTGTGCAAAACAAAACCTGACTCATGTCAGGGGGAATTAAAAAAAAAAAAGCATCTTAGACACTTAGAGCGTTATTCCAAATCGAGAACAGCTGCCAATATTATGAAGTTTTTTTCCTCTTTTCCTGTATTGCAGCCCTGCATCTATGAATTCAGCTAACAGAAATCATTTAAGGCCACTGAGCCTAAGAACCCAGTCTACTTCAACCCTGCCCCCAAATTCTTACCAAGTGACTCAGTTCCTCATAGCGGGCATTGAAAGCCTCCAATTTTTCACTGATTATATCATCAAGAATCCCTCCATCAATCAGTGTCTGTCCAAGTTCCCGAATCTGGGTTCGATTATCAGCTGGATGACGCAGGACTGATTCCAGGGACTAATTAGCAGAGAAAGATTTAAAGGTCAAGACACCGAATATTACTGCATTTTCAGAAGTGGAAATCTGCCTGCATGCACAGAAGTTTTATACTTCAAATGTCCTGAGAGTGCTCTAAAATCATGAATTAGTTATAGCTTAATCCACGATGAATGAAGGCAAATACAGTGCTCATTTTGCGTTAGATAATTAAACTTCACAGCACTTCTTGCCTGTTCACATAAGTTCATACTAAGTGCTTGAAGGAAGTAATCAATTTACACAGGACAGGAGAGAGCATACACTTTTAGCATGGTACCAAGTACGACACAGTCATGTACACCAAAATTCAGCTTTTGGTGGAGGATCTTACAAATATCCATCAAGATTCAGAGTAATATATTCATTTAACCTGAAGAATCAGAATATTCCACACATTTCAATATTCTGCTGAAGTGTAGAATTTATGTTTTTTTAAACAGAGCTATCTAAAAAGTTACCAATCAGATAGAATGACTATAATACCTCAAGAGCATCATTGACGGCATCCAACTTATCAGGCAGATTTTCTGTCATTTGCACTCTTTGTTCCAAATTGTTTAGCCAAGCTGTTTCTAAATCAAGGTACTGAAGCAGCTCAATCCAACAGGACCACACCTCCTAGGAGCAACAGAAAAAAAAAAACCCACAACAAAAAAAAACAAACATAAATTAGCCTAGAATGTCAGGCATAGCTCATATACCCTATGAACAGCTTAAAGAAATTATGTTTCTGAGACATTCACCTAAAATAGGCAAGTAGAAATATTCAAAAACATGCCATGGCACAGTAAGTTCTCAACAGAAAAACCTGCAACTGTAGCAGCAAGAAGAAATACGCAAAATACACATAGAAGTCTCTAAATGCATGCTAAAATTATCACTGACTTTCAGATTCCTGTAACAACTTAAGAATATAACAAAATGCAGCTACTCTTTTTGAATGGTAGGACATAGGCAACCTACCTCAAATTATAATCAACATGTTCTAATTATCATCATATTTCAACCTTTAATCTCTGAGAAGTTTCTTTTTGTCATTTTTGAAGACATACAGATGAATAACAGCTGAAACAAGCTTCCTTATTTGTACAAGCGTTGATTACAATAGAGATTATAAAATCACAGTTAGATGGTGTCTGATGGATCCCAAGGATATCATCTCAAGGGAAAGCAATCTTGGAAAGGAGCCACAGCAAAACGCATTTATGCTGAAGTTACTGGCTTCAATGACAAAATTGGACATTTTCGGTGTCCTTCTCCAATCCTCCTGTGCCACCCACCTCCGTTTTACTCAGTTGAGAGCTATCACTCTTACCTCCAAAGTGTGGCATTTCCCCCGGATTCGATTGCACAGCAGCTGGTAGTTCTCCAGCACAACATTCAGCTCGGTCGCCAGGTCCTGACCACTGGACGGCACTTTGGCAGCCAACATCTTGATGTTGTCTTTGAGAATCTTCACCCGCACCTCTTTCTGCAACACATCCTCTTTCGCTCTCTGCCCAAAGAAATGTAGCACACGATCAGCCCTCAATTGCCATACAGTCAGCTTTTCACTTCTGAAACCAAAGATCAGCAGTTTAACCTTGAAAGCATTACTGTCGAAGTATTCTTGGGCCCGATCACAATAAAACATGGCACTAACTTGCATGGAATTCAGATTATGGTAGTAAGTGTTGGAAAATCTTATTTTATTAAAAATACAGACACATTTACCATTTATGGTTTGTTCATTAAAAATCCATGCCTCAAAGCGAAAAAGATTAAGTTCAGTGTTATTTATATACTAGCATAGAGATAAGAAAAAGATAAATTAACAGGAAAAAAAAAACCAAACTACAGAGGTTTGCTAGAAATAAGCATATTGGGGAGAAAAAGATAGGGTGAGTTTGGAGAAGTTATGAGTCTCGGAGCTCAGTCGCAAAATTATCCAGGAATTATCCTAGGCCACACACAGCTACAAAGTTGGGACCTCTCTCACAGCTGTTGGGTGCACTAGAGGAATATGCAAAAGAATTCCTTCAACCCAGCTGGACTCAGAGGAGCTTGGTAACAAATACAGAGGATAAGCACAGCATGGTTCCCAGCACACAGGCCTGGAGAAACCGTGCTATCAGTTGTCAAATTTTGCCTAACCAGAATTCAGGAAGCAGGACAGCTGGAAGGCAGATCACGCAGACCAGTCCAAGCCTGTCTCTGTCGAGACAACTAGGAGGCTCCAGAAATAGAGACTGTCCCATATCTCTTTCTTTTCAGGTTTCAAGGACAGTTTTATGAAGTTGAAGTACCTCTGGTTTATATGGCACTGCATTTTATGGCACAATTTAGTACATGACAGCATTATTGTTGCACATATTGTTCGAGATGTCTTCTAAATGCAAGGCCATAAAAAAAAATGCCAGTTAATGGTAGGGCAAAGAATGAAAAGTCTAAGGAACATATTATTTTATGGCAGGATCATAAAAAGCCACCTAGACTCAGCTTAAACCTACTCCTTCAAATGTCAGCAGGAGGTCCACTCTCTATTCAAATGAGAGCAGAACTGGGCAAGCTCAAAAGTTTCTCAAAACCTTATGCAAAAACACTTCAGGCCAAATACACAGTGATTGTTCTTTTCAAGTCCTAAATGTAGTCCCAGCATAATATTCTTACTGCAAATGAAAGAGGATATGTGAGTGTTACAGTAAGTTTACTGGTTCACTGGCATATCTGCCAAATTTAAAAGTACAGAATATAACCTGGATTTGACAAAGCTAAATGTGCTCAAAGTCTCTCAGATTTGCCAATGAAAACAGGATTCTTCCTTTCCAGGCTTGTGTTCAGTAGGCTGTCAGACTATGTGATCTCAAATGACTTCAAAAGACATTAATATATTAAAACACTTGTTAAAGACTGCTTCAGAAAGCCCCTTCAAAAAAAGCAATTCAAAACTTCAAATAGATTTGTAAAAGCACTAGTAAGGGAGAAAATATTCATTATTTTATGCTCCATCAAGTAACAGTGTAATGAATACTCATTGAAACAATATGCATATAAGTCAAAACACTGGTGAAGATATGCCTCAACTCTCAGATTTAAAAGCAGAGAGAATTATTGTTTACTCCGAACACACATCCAAGAAAATTACCTATTCAACTGGTAATTTATAATGAGACAAAAATAGCTCACTTCCTCATTTCCATTTCTTTTGGCAACCAGTCCAAAATTAGAGAAGCAAGGACCAGCAACACTGTTTGCAAAAGATGAGGAATACAACGTAACCTTACAACAGAACTGTTTTAAACTGCTTTTCTAATTGTAGATATACTATTACAGAATAAGAAAGGGAAGCCCAACAGCTAGAAGCAGAAGAATGCTGCTAATTTAAAGAGGTATAACATCACCTTTTCTTTCTGAAGTTTTGTCCTCTGCAGTAAGTTTTCATATTCTTAATGTTTAATATGGTATACATAGCAAGCCTGGCTCAACAGCTGGGCAAGCTGCTATTCATTATGAAATCCCTACTCCTCGTGGCCAAATAGAACATCTGCCGTTATAGTTTGTGCTTTAAAAATGAAAATCCCACAAAGCAAAGCCAAAAATTACTACTAATCTTGTCATGACCTGAGCTCTTTCCACTTAGAAAATAATTCCACAAAAGGTTGACCCGCAAAGCCATTAAGTTTTGTTTCTCTTTAAGCAGGTCTCTACAATAACCTGGTATTCCTGACCTTCATTTCCTCCACTGCATTCTCTAGCTCTTCAGGAGACTTGTATTCAAAATCTTTCTCCAAATATTCTTCTTCAGCTTGGGTCATCCATTCTTGCATCTCTGCCAAATCCTTCTTCAGATTTACAGCTTTTTCCTGACTTTCGGACAGGCGATTTTTCTGACTAATGATCTAGAATCCAAGGTGAAGAAAGAACCAGCAGCTTTGTTACTTAAATGTCCTTGTATATGTGAAAATCCATGAGTGTTTGTTATAACATTTTACTAACAAAACAATTTCAGGCCTTCTTAACTAACAAAACAGTTTTACACATACACACCCCCACGAACTCATGATCCTTTTTAAGTAGATCAACAAAACTTAGAAGTGAAGGAAGGAGAAAAATTACTTTTTTCTCATTGCATGTAAAAAACATGCTTCAGGCCTTGCTTCTTTCCACAGCCCAGGCAATCTGGATTCTGTATCAACAGCAAAATTTGCCAAAACAGATCCTCGCCACGCATTGCAACCAAAGAAGTATGTTTCTACAAACAGCAGAAAGCTTCCATCCAAAAGAAACAACAGAATACACCAGACTGAAGTGGTAGTCTATTTATAGCCATTTATTCTTCAAAGCTGCTTGGAAACAGGCAGAATCACACTGGGACAGAAAAATATTCCAGATTTCAGGAACAACAGAAGAAAACAGGGAGAATTCCCTATGCCACCCCAGAAATAACAGCATGAGGCAAAGTGAACAAATCAGGTTTTAGTTAGAAACAAAGAGTTCACTCACTGTGCTCCTCATAGTTAGGTACCAAGAAGCGCACGTATTCAAACCAAACTACTGTTGCACAGGTATCCTCTAACATATTTGCACTTCAAAATGATTCACTGGGTCAAGATGGATTTCAGCCACTTGGTGAGTGGAACAAGTAAAACATACTCATCCCACCATGTCACTGCTTCACCTCTTCACCATCCTACCAATGCCACACAGTCAAAGAGCTGCAGTAACAAGCAAGGACCAGCAATATTTGGAGAACTCACCTGTTTGCTCAGTTTCTCCCATTGAGTCTGGCAGTCAACTAGCCTAGACTTTGCCCAAGTATTTATGCCTGCAATAGGGTGAGTTCTTAAAGCTGACTCTATTTCTTTCATCTCTTTCAGTGATGGTTCAATTGTCTCCATTTCATTGACAAACACCTGAGAAGACACCAGAGAAAATTAATGTTGTTCTTTTGCAAGACATTTCTTAAATTTATAGGATACCAATAATTTTCTAATTTTTCATTTCAGAGAAACTCGAATAAAGAAAGCAGATTGATGCTACGTTCCATACCAGACTGTTTAAAACAATCCTTCAGTGGCCCAAGACATCAGAACTATGCAATTAAATCAAAATAAAGCTTGCCATACACAGTGCAAACATTTTCAGATGCCAAATGTCAACATTGGAACAATGGTAGTCTGAAGATTATGTACACTAAATGTCCTGCTACTTCTGGCTTACCTCAGATCCATATTCTTCTCCTGGAAACAAACATTTGAAGGTATACTGTAATTACTTATTCTAACATTAAATTCTACCTCATTATTATGTGCCACTAGCTAGGGAGGAATCTTACTTGTAAGGCACATATTATTCCTAAACTCTACAATTTCCAGAGTTATTTGGTTGTTATTTTTACTGCCCTTGGGAGTTGAATGCAGAAAGCACTTTTCACTCACAGATTCAACACCCTAATCATAAAATTGGTAAAAATATATAAACATTTTCAGAGGAAATAACATCAACTTGTAGATGAGTATTTGTAAATATGGTGAAGACCTTTGAAAAGTACAAAGTGTGTACTACACTTGTGTGGTGCTACACACAAGGAACCAATTAAAAAATGCCCTGAAGAAAGACAAAACAATTTTCCTGGCAATATATTCCTTCATGGAATATACTATGGACAATATTTAATAATACAAGCAAAATAATAAAGGAGAGACGCTAGTCATTAGTTGTTTCAGAAGATTCCTTAAAAGAGCAAAACTCACTGTGCACTGGTCAAGTTGTCTTTGAAGTCCTTCAGTGTCTCCTTGAACAGCCTTTTCTCTCATTAAGAAGTCTTTCACACCATCCATCCACTTCTGAACAACTTTTGAATCAGTCTAAATCAAATACAGTAATGAAGACATGATACAGTGTCCTGATGAAGATTGTACAGCTGCATTTCAACTTCTGACAATGACAAAAGAATATCCTACAATCTGCTAACATTGCCGTGGCTTTGAATCAGACTGTCTTTGGTTTAATTTTTGTTTTTGGTTGGTTGGTTGGTTCCCTTCTCCTCCCCCATTTCTCTGTTATCAAATTTATATGAAAATTTAATTCATGATACTGATATTCTCCCATCCATGCCACAGCACAGTTTAATTGACACTGCACTGCTCCAGGCTATCACACAGAAACATGGCCTCAAGTAAGGATGCAAGCATGGATTCAAGTGGTCTGTCAATATCCTTCACACGAGGGACTTGGCTGAAGGCTGGAAATAGCATTTTCCTGACAGCAGAAACCATGTACAACTGCTTCCACCACACTCATCTGAGAGACATATTGCACTCCAAGGAAAAGAGAGGGCCCTACAGAAATATATGTAGGGAGGTGAGGGTAATGCTAAGCATACTTGACGGGTAGAAGCTCTGCTGGGAAAGCCATTCGCCTTATAGAGAAACAAAGGCATAAAAGGAAAATACCACAGAGGATTAGACTAACCACTAAAAAAAAATAAATACATCATTTCAAACTTATCTGACTAAAAATAAGGCAGTTGCCTTATATCCTGCAATGACGTAGGTAGGGAGACAGACAGGAGGATTGCTGTCTCCCTCCTATGCAGTTGTGAATGCTCCCAATCACCCTTACAAACAAAACCACCACAAACTCAGAGCAAGGCAGAAGTTTCTCCTTGTCTTGGTTCAATTGTGTTATGTGATAGTCATTTTTTCATAATATAGTTGGTTTTTTCTTAATCTGCATTTCTGGGCTGTTTGTTTGGAATTTTTTCTAGATGGCATCTTTTTATTCTGACACAATTATCCCAGAGCACTGTTATTGAGAAGCCGAGTCAAAGCTCATCAATTTCTCCTTTCACTGTGCAAGGAGGAAAGCACACACTTCATTTCCTTAAAAACCTTGCAATAACAGTTCTTTCAAGATCAATACACTACCTGCACTAATGAAAACCCATTAGACTAAGACCATGATTATTTTTAGGGTGATGCTACCATTAGAGGTCAAAGTCATGACATTTTCTTCATTCCTTTTCCATTTTGGGGAAATTTCCTGCAGCTGATTAGCCTGAAAAGCATTTTCCATAAAACAGACCCCAGGAGGTTTAACAGCGAATCACAGCTTAATGTAAAAAAATACATATTTATAAAGGCTGCCATTTGACAAGGCATTTTAGCATATACCTAATTTATCTTGCTTACAGTAAGCTACATACATAAATAGACGAAGTGAATTAAATGGGATTACTCACAAAGTTAAGCACGTATTCAAATAACTTGCTGAATCACAAGCCAAACCTACAGAAGTTTAATGAAGTAAATGTTCCTGCACTGAGCAGGTAAACAATTACCAATGGTCAAATAACCAGTTTATGTTGCTGATGTAGAAGAGCTCACAATTTTTAGACGTGGGTAGCATTCAGGGACTGCTTCTATGAAGCTCAAGATCAAAACATTCCGACACGTAGGAAGTCAAGGAAGGGA